TTGGCTTTGGCTTAAACCATTACTGGCAGCACAGCATGTGACACTAATTAAGGTGCTTTAAAGATATATTTTAACAGAGCAAACCATTACGATTATATGGTTAAATATTGTGTGACGTGAAGCATCCAGAGTTATCTAAAATAAGTGTAACGGTGGAGGGAGCTTAACTTTATATTCAATTCACAAGCAATCACTATTAAAGAACTCATAGTTGAGAGCCTTTAGGGCTTTCGCGCCGGGGGCTAGCGGCCTAGCAGCGGAGATTCACGCATCACCAACTGGCTTCAGATGAGGCAAGCTAGCTGAACAGCTAGCTCTGCCGACGGGTCTCTGTGGTCTCGCGCTGACGGCTACTGGCCTAGCAGCAGGATCCATCTCCACACCATCGGAGGACTGGGGGCCCGCACCGAGGGCTAAAGGCATAGCAGCGGAGATCCACGCATCGCCGGCTGGCTTCAGACGAGGCAAGCTAGCTGAACAGCTAGCTCTGCCGGAGGACTGTGGGTCCGCGCCGATGGCTAGCAGCCTAGCAACAGAGAACCACAAACCAACAGCTAGCTCTGTCTGCTCCACTGTCAACAACTGCACCGAGGTAAAGCCTAGAAATCCGGTATTTAAAAAACACCGTTACACAAAAAATGTTCAAAGAGTGAATCAAGCAAAAATAGTGTGGGATCCTCGGTGCAAGCCGAAGGGACTATTCAGTGGACATTTACATTTCCGCAGCATTTGCAATAAACATGAATCGCTAGAACATCTCCTCCTTGAGTCCAATATTGACTGTTTGGGAATATCTGAATCTTGGCTAAAACAGTCGTCACCATCAACTATTGTATCTATGTCAGGATATAATGTGTTTAGGAAGGACAGACTGAAGGGAAAAGGAGGTGTTGCTTTATTAGAGGAATACCATTACTTGTAGGGAGATTGCTCTTCCAGCTAAAATTGAGTTTGATTGTGTTGGTGTGGAAATCACACTATCTGAGGAAATGTCCCTCACCATGATTTGCCTGTATCGACAACCCACCGCTAAGGTGGATTTCTATGATCAGGTAAAACTCATGCTGAATGCCTGTGACTCCAACAAAGGGCTAATCATTTTAGGAGACTTTAACATAAACTGGAATGACAAACAAAATAGAAAGAACTTAAAACGGATCACGGATAAACACAACTTAATACAACTAATGGATCAACCGACTAGAATAACCAAAACCTCTAAGACTATGATAGATTTATTATTTACTAACAAAGCTGACAGAATAGTTAAAACCTACAACTTCCTGACTGGTCTTTCTGACCATAATCTTATTCTTTTTACCAGGAAACTCACAAAAAAAAGGTTGATGGCCACACCTAAAACCCCTGCCTTGGGTTCTCGCTTCATCCCCAAAAACCTGCAACAACGTTTTATGGATGCAGTGAAAATGATTGATTGGGGGGACACTCTGTCCTCTGAAGACATTGGTGAAAACAGTGATCTGTTTATATCTCAAATTAATGATACAATGTCTTCCTTCTCAAGGAGAGGGTGCCTTAGGGACAGGAAGGAACATCATCTTCCCTGGCTGAATCTACAATGCAGGAATTTAATGAAATCTAGAGACCAACTATTAAAGCAGAGCTTGAAATCCGGACTATCCACTGATAGACAGAAATTCACTCATGCTCGTAACAAGGTAACACAAACAATAAGACAGGCCAAAGCTAACTTCTTCATCAATATAATTGAAGGTGCGAAAGGTAACGGTAAAAAAGTTTGGCAAATCTTAAATAAACTATTAGGTAAACATAAGAAACAGGAAAATAATGTTTTAGAATTAAAAAATTAGAAAATCAATGATGCCCTGATAAAAGACCCGGCTGTATTGGCCAGCAGCTCTCTCAATGAGTATTTCATAAATAGTGCTCTGGACATTACAAAGCTCTTCCCTCCATCTGAGGTCTCACCTAGCCCGACTGTGGATACACACCCCGTTTTTGACCTGGAGGAAATCACAGAGGTTGAGGTAAAAAATATAATCTCAGGGTTAAGAGGTTCTAAGGCTAGGGATGCAGATGATTTAGACACCAACTTTATAAAGACACATATCGACGGTCTAATAAAACCAATTACTATGCTAGTGAATCAATCTATCAGCACAAGGGAAGTTCCATCATCCTGGAAGGTGGCCACGGTGACACCGATCTTTAAATCTGGGGATAAGGCAATGATGTCCAATTACAGACCAATCAGCATCCTCCCCTGTGTCTCTAAGGTAGCTGAGAAATGGGTGTCAAAACTAATCACCAAACATTTAGACAAAGGTTTCGCTCCACTCCACCCAATGCAGTTTGGTTTTCGTGCTCACCACTCCACTGAGACAGCTAACTGTGTCTTTGTGGAAAAGGTTAAATGTATGTTGGACACGAGCCCATATGTAGGTGCTGTCTTCCTTGATCTCAGGAAGGCTTTTGACACTGTTGACCACCAAGTGCTCCTTACAAAGCTGACTCATTTCAATTTTTCGGCTGTTTCTATACATTGGTTTAAGTCTTACTTATCTAACAGAAAACAGTGTGTTTTGGTCAAGGGTGCCAAATCCCCCTACCTTGTGAACCCTGTTGGGGTTCCACAAGGTTCCATTCTTGGACCATTACTGTTTTCTCTGTACATTAATGACTTGCCTAATGTATGTCCTGAGTTGAATGTGCAAATGTATGCCGATGATGCGGTCATCTTTATACACAGGAAGAACACTGAAATGATCTCATCTTGTCTCTCAAAAGCTTTGGACAAGGTTCAACACTGGCTGAACAACATTTGCTTACATTTAAACGTAAAAAAACAGTATGCATGATGTTCAGTAAACGACCAGTCAAAATCGAAGGATCCAACGTGTTTTTAAACGGAGCAGAAATAGAACTAGTCTCCCACTTCAAGTATCTTGGAGTCATAATGGACTCGAACTTGACTTTTAAGAAACATATTAAGAAAGTATCCAATACCATTAAAATCAACTTGCAACATTTTAAACAAATTAGACCTTTCTTAACTGTCAATGCTGCAAAGTCATACCTCCACTGTATGATTATATCCCACATTGAATACTGTTTTACAAACTGGTCGTTTGCTTGTGCCACACACCTGAAACCAATAGAACAGCTGTACAAGAGAGCTATCAAGGTGTTTGACAGAAAGCCATATTCATACCACCACTGTACCATCCTTGAAAAACACAATTTCTTGAGTTTTGACAATTTTAAGTCTTTTAAAAGTATGTGCTTTTTTTATAAATGTTTACATGGACTGGCCCCCCCTCCCTTAGGGGAATTCATCCACAAAAAACACACTGGACGCTGCACTAGGTCAGAAACCAGAGGAGACTGTGAAGTCCACCGCAGACAGACCACTTTTGGACAAAATGTCCTCTCCATTAAAGGCAGCTCATTGTGGAATAGCCTCCCTACTGAGATACGGGATTGTCCCACTCTCAATAGCTTTAAAGGTCAACTCAAAGAATGATTGAGAAACAAACAGACGTGCAATCACCGCTAAATGCACTTTAACACAGGGGTATCTCCTCTTGCACTTTATGTAGCTCTTGTATCTTCTCTTGCACTTTATATGTCGTTGCTGCTATATTGTACTACCATGTCATAAATACTTGTGTATGCTGCTCTTGCTCTCTTGCACTTTTTGCATATCATGTATTTAGTTTTTGCTCTGTTTGTAAAATGTAATTTTCTTAAATGTTTTATGTGAGGGACTGCGGATGAAAATGAGCACAAAGCTAAATCTGGCACTGTTACGCTTGACACATTTTAATGTTTTAAGTGTTCATTATTGTGCATTGTCCCTGCCAAATAAACGATTAAATGAAATGTTTTCATATATATGATCCATTCCTCTTTTAAAAATGATTGATTGAGTGACTTTTCCTTTTTTTCCTTTATAAGATTTTTTAAGGCAACCCATGCTTTTGAAAGGGGGAGAAAGAGGGGATAGCACACGGCAAAGTGTCCCAGGCCGGATGCGAACCTGGGTCCGCCAGTTCTACCAATTGAGCTATACGGCCGCCCTGCAGAGTATATTTCTGTCGATCAACTATTCAATTACATAACAAAGTGTTAAAGCTACAGTCAGAAGTTCATGGAACACTGCTTACTTTCCTTCATTCATTCATCAGGGACAACATTAACAGTAAAAACTGCGTTTCTATGACTGTGTCACAAGCTTGTGTAACTTCCCTTTCTCTTCCTTTGCTCATACAAAAACCCCAAAGTGATAAAAGCGTTGTCCTATGCAGCGCCACCTGAAAGGGTAATAGCTTTTAGACATCTTATATAACTGTCTACTACTGGGACAGAGAAACTATGAACAAATGAGTCATTCTCATATGGTTACACATACTTACTTGAAGTAAGTGAAATTCAACTTTTGTTTGGGACCCCACTTTACAGGAACAGAGCACATTGGTTTCAGCGCCAATATATGTTGAAGGGCCTTATTATGATTTTTGGGGTTTTCCCTTTCCTGTAGTGGTTTAGGTTTTTGTGCATGTAAATGGTCTGCAAAGGCTAAAATACCAAAGTTCCCTCAAGAGGGAGTTTCTCTCCAACACTTCCCCCCCTGCCTAAAATGCCTCCATTGGACTCATTTGTTGACTTCTGTAGCATAGTGACATCACTATGTAACACTCGCTTCTATTGGTTAGCGCTCCAACACATAGGGTATAGGCTAAGCACCGGGACTTCTCTAAGCAGTTGACCAATCTCAACAGAGCCAGCCAGCTAACCAATCAGAGCAGACTGGACTCTGGTTTCAGACAGAGGGTGAAAACAGGTGCTGCAGCACAGGCAGTATGAGAAAAATAAAGAGCTTTTTGAACATTAAAGCGTGTCACAGTAGAGGCACAAAATACAATTATAAAAAACTCAAAGCTTAGCATAATACGGCTCCTTTAAGTTCTGAAGGAATTGAAAACACCTTGGATGGAGAAGAACGGGGATGTGCTTACCTCTTGCGGATAACTTTTTGGTGTTGATTATTTTGGCGGCATACTCCTGTCCTGTACACAGCTTAACACACCTGCGCACCACTGAAAAGGCTCCCCTGTAAATACACAGAAAAAAAACATTTACTAATCTTTGTTAATTCCTGTATGTTAAGAATATATATGTGATTCCCTAATTGCATTATTCATCTTCTTTTGATACAAGGGCAACACCAGCACGCCTGCAAGTTCTTGACGAATGACACAGAGAGCTCAACTTAATGACTCTTCATAAGATTTTGCTGAACATTTTTTTCATAGTTGGCATTTTTTTTCAGCCAAATGTGGAAGAGACCTGATGCCACTCGCTCGGGTTAACTGCGGCTAGCTCCATTAAAAGACTATGCTGCCAGGATTTGTCTTCCTAATAGGCTCCCATGAGGCTCCCCATACACAGTCAGCATAACTTAAATAACATGCACACATGCGGCGTGTGAGAGACGGGGCTAAAATGGGCTCTTAAACACAATCCCTGCATTAGTGAATAGGTATTTTACCTTGAAGAGCCTCTCACGAAGCACATATGTTGCACCAGTCCCACAACCAAAGCATAATGACTTACAGCTACCTCATGTAAACTTTAGTATGTGATTCCGTGATCTAATTTTGCATCTGCTGCCGTGTGAAGAAACTACACCTCAAAAGTTTAAAGGAAATTGTGACTGGAAACACTGAATATGTGGATGGATTTGGCCATAAGAAGGTCACATGTCATCAGCCTAAACACAAAAATATCTCCCTTTAAAGACCAGAGAGCAGGCGACACAGAGGCTTCACAGCCTGACCTGTTAAGTTAGATCTGCCCAGTCTTGCTACAGTACCACAGTTTACAGTGAAAAGGTGGACTGGTGCCACTGGTCTGCCTCCACACTGAGGCAGGGTCAAAGGTGAACGCTGTGAGACCAGCTGACCTGAGACCTTAATAAGCAGACAGTGGGGGAAATGTCTATGGGGAGACACAAGACCCAGCAGACTTCACAGGGAATTTCAATACGGTTTAGGCGCCTGATAAAAACAACTGAATTAAAAATGCTACATCTCATGGTAAGGATTGTCTGGGTAGTTTAGTTCGAGCAGATCAACACGCTTACAGAGAGCTCTCCTACAGTAACCATGTGTAGCGAAACAGGACCCAAAGGCAAGAAACTCTCTGAAACACGGTTGTGTATAAAGCACTGCATGACCGACACCAGCACACACACTCAACCAAATAACTAACACCAAACTCCACAGCTGTGCCTGGAAAGTTCCCACTGTGAGGTAAGTGATCAGGGCTAAATATGCTAACACACATACACAGTTAAATAGGGCAACACGTCATGATTCATTGCTTTTAGAAAGTCTGGTTTGACACCCAGAAGAGTAGACTTGGAGTGTATTGTAACAGGATTACTCCGAGCTTCTGGTGTACAATTACAGTTTCACATGTTGCCTGTGGTGTTGAGGACGTACTGTGGATTAGGATTTGTAAAGTTACACTCAAAAGCTTCAAGTGTAACCGAGGCAAAAAAGAATACCAAAATCAGAGAAAAGTTATGAGTTTTTGAATAACTTGTTTGAGCGTCTTTATTTCGTAATGAGTAACTGACAGAAAGCCACATTCAAGCTTGTAACTGTTTGTTTTATTGTGAACATATTCCAGAATGCATGGTTTAAACAGGATGTTTTGAAATATATTTTAATTATAATTCATTCTAAATTATGTTTTGTCATTTTATATGCCTGTATATGTAGAGTATAAGAATGTGTTTGATTATTAACTTTATAAGACCTTGTGTCAAAACATTGAAGTAGAACCATACCAGTGTTAAAGGTCCCATGTCATGGCCATTTCTACTGATCATAATTCCATTGTTGAGGTCTACTAGAATAGATTTATATTGTGCAATTTTCCAAAATCACATTGGTTTCTCATACAGCATCTCTGTATAGTATGTGTATTCACTCTCTGTCCTAAACGGCTTGTAGGAGCTCCTGCCCCCCCCTCCCTGTGAGCCCAGTGTGCTCCGATTGGTCAGCTCGGCCACTCTGTTCTGATTAGTCAATCACCAGAGAGGCTCCGCCCATGTCTAACACAGTGCTTTTTTCGGCTCTGAGCGGAACATCAGTTTTACAATGGCGTCGGTACAGCCGTATATGTTTGAACCGGAGTCCGATCATGAAAGTGAGACAGACCAACGTGATAGACCTGATCCACCGTCCCAAACTAGACTAGAGCAGACGGTTTCACAGTGGAACGTTTTTATTTAGTATCGCTCTTACATTTCAGATGTAAGTTACAACATTATGTAGCCAGCTAGCTGAAAACACCAACAGTAGCACACAACATTATATGCCAAGATATACACCATACATATTTGTCAAGTCAATAGACTATTATATGCCCTTTTATTTCTTCCTCAGTAATTGAATGTTTATTTTGTAAACCTCGCCATAGTTGGTTTAATTGCTAAACGTGTTATGTTACAAATATCTTACCTTCCTATAGGTTGTAACACGAATGAACCAAGTCCCAGCACCTATTATGTGCATGGTACACCACCCAGGACTAGAGCCAAACTGTCTCAACCCATACACCCTGCAGAACCTCCATAACATTTACAGATTCGATTATGGACCTTTGAGGCATAGAACGGAAGAAGAGTAAGTTATTCTTACCTGTAATAAACTACTACAGTGTTTTGATGAAAAATCTAATTATGGTTTGCTATATATGAATGATATGTTATAGGAGCAAATAATTCAGGGAAGAAAGGCTACTAAGTATTTCCATCAAACTTTATTTTTAGAAATGTACAAAATGAACATGTGTAAATATACATATATACACACTGTATATCATCCATTCCTCCCCTTATAGGCGTTTTCGGCATCTTGCCTATCGCAGCTTTGTAAGCTGGTGCTGGGGCTTTTTAGGACGAGGCATCAGAGTGGTCATCCCGTCATGTGTTGTCCGCCGGATACGCCAGGAGTTCCTGACGAAATCAAATGCAAATCACAAAATATTAGAGAAACTTAGTTGTTTTAGGTTCGTTAGCTTAACAGCTAGATTAATATGCTAACCTACGTTTGCTAGTTGTTCAGTGTAATATGCCAACCTACTATGAACAACAGCTAGTGGTTCATATTAGGCTAGCAAGAACATGTTTACAATTGCAATCTTATACGGGTAGTCTGCTACGTTCGGTCATTCATTGTAGCTGGCATAAAAACAATGTTTTCCCTAGCAAACTCATGTCTTGGTAGCCTTCTTTTTTAGCTCGGTAGCATACACGCTAGGAACGCCAACTATAATGTTATTAAGTTTCGCGACTGACCGTACGGTAAATAACCCGGAGTATACTGTCTATGAGTATTTCGTGTGTGAATGCAGACATTCTCCTGCTATGAGATACATGTAAGGCCATCTGCTGACATTGGAGTTGATATATGGAAACGCTAGCAACTTAGTTAGCCCAGTTAGCACTGTGTCAATGGCTTAGCAGCCCGAAACACGTTTACCCATTTAAACAGTCGTGGTAGATACCTTGTTTGTTTTAAACATCATAAATACACAAACAACAATGAATACTTACAGGTTGTGTACCCGAATCTCCCGCTGGTCCAAACAAAGTAGGAACAGCATCGTTCTTCAGTGCCCTACGCTGTGCATGCATGCATGCATTGAAGATTTCCCCTCACAATACAGGAAACAGACCCTCGTTGGCATGACTGGATACAGTTTTGAACTGAACCTGAGATTCCAACAGTATATATGTTCTGCTGGCAGAGGGTGTGGCCTCTGGGTATTGACACGTCAGAGAACCCAGGAAGAAACAATGGAAAATGAGAAATCTCCAACGAGGCGTTTTGGGGCAGCATAGACAGGTCTTTTCTGTGTTAGAGTTTTACTCGCTACAGCAGGGGAGATTCCCAGTCGATCGCGAGATTCCCAGTCGATCGCGAGATGTGTCTAAAAATAGAACAACAATATTCTGTTTTATCGTTAATGTCCTATAACATAATCTTCCTGTGCCAGAATAATGCACTTGAACGCATCAAAGCTTTGTGATTGGCATGACCCCATGTGTCGAGGCGTGGCTGGTGGGCAGTGGGCACTATTTCGCTGACGTTGTCTGTGTCAACAGGAGTGACAGTCCGCACACACACAAGACCGCAATTATGGCAGAAGCAAAAAAGCCCAAAATATATAATTTTCACTCCGAGTGGGAGGATGATTATTTTTGTATCTATTTCAATTCAAAGTCCATCTGTCTCATCTGCAATGCGAGCGTGGCTTTACCGAAGAAGGGTAATTTAGAGCGGCATTTCAAAACAGTGCACAAACGCTACGAGACGGAATTCCCTCCTAATTCTGCCCTACGCTCCCAAAAGGTGAGGGACCTGAAAGGACAGCTAAATGCACAGCAGTCCATTTTCACCAGGCCCAACAACAAGAGCAAGGCTGCTACCATAGCATCTTATCGTGTTAGTCACGTTCTTGCGAAACACATGAAGTCTTTCAAAGACGGCGAAGTTGTGTAAGAAGCATTCCTGGAGGCTGCCGACGCGCTTTTTGGGGACAGTAAAAATAACAGTAGCATTTCAACAGGCATATAATAAAAACTCAAGTTAGATACCGTTATTAATCAGCTGTAAGTTTTAGTTTGTTTGAACTTATTCATTATAATTATTGTACAAAATGGTATAAGAATGCAAACTTAAATTGATTATAGTCTATTATCAATTCAGGTTAAGAAACTAGTGTTGCTTGCATCCTATTTTAAAAAGGCATTTATTTGTATACTCTTCTAAAATGCAACAAAAGGGTTTGATTCTATTAATTTTGTCTTTTTTATTGCACTTTTCCAGCAGATTCCTGTGTAGCTTCAGATCTGAGTTATCTTATGAGTAAGCCTAATTTATACTTTTGTAGCAACACTATTTTTATATAATGGCAAAGAAAGGGTTCAGAGTCTTTTCTTTTTTTCCTGTGTCATATGTGGCAGCACTGTTCAATGTTTCTTGAAAACATTACCCACTGTAGTATGTGACGTGTGAATAAACTCCAACTCTGTATCAACAACACTGTTGTGTAACTTCAGTTAAATACTTGTATGTGTGTAGATTAGAAAGAGGTAAGATAAAGGATCTGCAGTATTTTATGAAGTATTAATCGTACAAAGGTCAGTTGTATACAAGTAGAAGTGTGTATTTACCTGGTAGTAGGCTGTCAGTAATGGCTACGCGTCTCTATTTGGACTGGTAGATCTCGGCAGACTGGCAACTTTAAAAGTAGCTCTCGGTTCAAAAAAGGTTGGGCACACCTGCGCTACAGGGTGTACTTTGAGGGTTTTTGACTCTGCACACCGTTTACATGCATAAAAACCTTCATAACACACAAGGGGATGGGTAATAACCGAAAAGCATGACATGGGCCCTTTAACTGAATCTTATTTCATCAACATTGGAGCCAGCCCTTTCTTCGAGGCTTGCTGTGGTGTTTGTATTTAAGTACGGCAGACATCACATAAATGGGATAAACATACTAGAGCAATGGCACTACAGTATGCTTAAAGGTGGGGTAGGTAAGTTTGAGAAACCGGCTCGAGATACACTTTTTGTTATATTCCATGGAATGCTCTTAACATCCCGATAGCAATGAATATCTCTGTAAGGAAGTGGCAGATTTTTTCAGGTTGTGTATTTTCAAATTCTAGCGCACTAGAGCTGGTTTCTCCAAAATGACCTACCCCACCTTTAAATGTCACAAGTCCCGTTAAGAAATCGACACCATTAGAGAGTGAGGGCGCAACAATTAGTTCTGCTCAGATGTTGGATTATTATTACAAAGTCACAGTGAGCGTTATCATGAGGATTTCAAGCCTCTCACACGTGCGCTCTTTCCTTCAGGCTTGGTGTGACTGGATAAATATTATGATTGGTCTATGAAAGATGTTATGCCGTGCAGGATGAACAGATGAGTCCCTCTTACAAAGAGAGCTTCAAAGCCAGCGCATTGACTGAAGTGTATTGTGTACAATTAATCGCAATTTAGCAAAATCACAAAAACGTGTATATATATATATATATATATATATATATATATATATATATATAGTCTCATTGGCTTTGAGGTTTTTTGAGATATTTAGTTTAATATGATTTAAAAGCAGAGAAAAAGTGGAAAATCTAAAAATGTTTCTGAAAGCAGCATGTTCGGCAAGAAAAATGCCCTTCTTAGTGGGTATTTGGTTAAAAAAATGCCCCAGTATCAAACAATCACCCATGTAGACTTGAATGGTGGCTCCGAAATACATGTGGTACCACCTTATTAAAAACAGCAGCAGGAGCAAGTACAGTAAATTCAAATGGTGACCCAGTTTCACAACAAAAAACATCTGCATAAATGTCTGAATTTATTACTGCCTAACTTCCCTTGCTGCTTACCATCCATAAATTCTGTATGTTCCGTAACATAGTTTCAATATCTAATATTGCAATGTCATTACAAATATGAGTCCTAAAACCCGGGTTAATAGTTAGCATTTTACCACTTCCGGTTCCCTCGTCTCAAACAAGTTTGTGGTTAGATGCCTGCTAACTGTTGCTAACCAGTGGCTAAATGAGACTTCTTAATGTCATCAAGTCAAACATGAGTCCGTTTACAGTTTAGCGGTAGTGATGCAAGAGCCATGCGACCACAATGTAGTCTGTTTATAGCCTAATGTTAGCTTTTTACTACAAATGTGTTTCAATATGTGGAGATTACACTGCTGAACAACGTGCAAGTATAATCTTGTGTTTGCTACAGAGTTTATTTTACGTAATATTGCAAAATAAATGTTTTTGAAAAGATACCTTAAATATTAAAACTTTCAAAAGAGAACAAATAGTCTGACTATTGGTTCTGTGGCTTTTGATCATATTCTAGGTTACTAGTTGGCTTGCCAATCTAATAATTTATAAAGAAAAAATGTAATCCAGGACTATAAACTTTATGTACTGTTGGTAAATTAGCCTATTTCCAATCATTTATTAAAATGACATGGAGATTCTAATCTTCATTCCATGAAACCCACATGAATATAACAGACACCGTAATATTTTGGTTGCAGTTATCAGATATGGCTGATTTAACGGCATGGGGCCAATCAAGCTGTCGGAAAATAACAAGAGATATGCATAATAATCAAAGAACACAGGCTAGATGCTAACACTCTTCAGCATCACTGTAAACAATGTGCGCCCGATGAGGAGTGATTTCTACATTGCCTAACTCCTCCCCCGTATAGAACATCTATAATGTTGCAATATGGAGATTTAAACTGTAAGGCCTCCAGTGCTTCATGGAAAGTTTTGGTGACCCCACCTTACTGACTTCATGTTCATTTTTATCTTGTTTAAATAATTATCCAATATAATGTTTGGGAAGCTCATACATTACTTTTAAGATGCACTAAACTTGATTTGTTTTTCATCTACTAAAAAGGTATTTGTATATTACTGTTGACTTTATATTCAAACTTTTTAATTTCATGTCACCACTCTTCATTTTTTGCATTACAGATATTCGTTGATGATGGTTATCTAATGACAGCACAACTTCAAAAAGTGTATATCGTTTTTTAAATGCAATATTTGGTCCTTGGATGAGGAGTCATTTTGGGTCTGTTTTGAGTCATTACATACCACTAAAAAAAAAAGTGCATACAGTTAACATATTATCTGCAACCACAATGCTGCATAGGAGCTCCTAAGTTTCTGCAATGAAGGTGTTAAATTACTTGTGTTTATACAAAATGTGTCCATATAGATGCCATTCATTCAGAGCTTTACATAGATGAACATATAAAGAAGAAGATTGCCTTAAAAATGTAATATTAAGCCCACTAGACTTAACGTTTTTTAAGCTTTGCAGATGACATTAATGTATTCTTCAAGAGGATATCTGATCAAACTAGTGAAAAACTGTCATCTTTGCAACCATAAAACATAACTTTTTCTGCACAACAGTTGTCATCTGTGGTTTAAAAAGTTGCAGCACATTTCTGACACCCCACGTGTTTCTAAATTGTAACGGGAGGCTGGTGCACCTGATGTAACGGCAAATTCTGACGTTACAGTTGGATTTTACTTTGGATTTTGGGGCCATTTCGAAACATGCATGACAAAATATTCAGAGAGGAGCAAGCATGTGTTAGAAAGAGACCTCCACTCACACATGGAGCGAGAGAGCAGCATATTTTCAGACCGAAAAAGCACACACTCAAACGCGCACACGCACACACTGGTCTGCAGAGTCGCACAACTCTGCACTGCCTGTAAACCAGCCTTCCTAACGCTGCTCCATTTACACCACACAACACCCGCAGAAACAAGCAAAACTAACACATTAAAACCGGATACTCACTTCCCCAGCTCCTCGTACAGTTGACATTCGTCAGTGAATCGCGTACAGGTTGTCGTGGCCATGTCTCTCCTCTATCTTTTGCTCTTTTACTTTCTCAACTCCGGAAAAATGCGGGGTTTCTTGCACTAAATTAGCGTTTAAAATACAGCTCCACCCAGCAGCTAGACGGCCGTTGGAGCGTTGAAATGCCTTGTCTGAGGTGCCGAGTGAAGGAGGGTTAGATACGGAAAGACGAAGCGACCAGGGTGGGTGCTCTCTCTCCTTCTGAATCCACTATCTGACAGCCACAGCGCTCAAAGAGACCCGTCATCAAGCCACCTGGTCAACGGGAAGCGACTTCCGGCTGCAATTTTCAGAATAAAACAAAGCTTTGATATAATTGGACTTGCTTTTTACAGCGCCACGGCTTCCACAGATGAAATATTTGTATATATTGTCAAAGCATTACATTTATTCATTGCTATCGGGATGTTAAGAGCATTCCATGCATGGAATATAACAAAAAGTGTTTCTGAAGTGAATTATCTACCCTACCTTTAAATGCTGTTTATAATAAAAGGGACTTTATTAACGAAGCAGGTCATATAAGCTGTTTCCGTTTTGTTCAATTGATAACTATGACAATGTAATTGAAATTGAGCCTCTTTGCAAATCATTATAAATGCAGACTCTGAACTTGCGATTAGTTAGCAGGTTAGCAAGGCTAGGCTATAGCTATGAAAACTGAGAGAAAAACATACACTACATGGAAAAAGTCATCTTTAAGTGAGGGAAAAAAAAGTTTCTTCCCCTGCAATAATTAAAATATTCTGATTGGTTGATTCATTGAATGGTTGTGTTTCTTTTCAGGTATTCAATTATTTTCTTTTTCGTCTATTCGCCCTCCGGTGGTCGGCAATCAGAAATGCAGACAATGTACCCTAACTGGTAGTTTTTAATTAAACAACCTATGACATATTTGTTGTTGTTATACTTTAACATAATCACAATGATATAGTAGCCTATATTAAAATGAAGAACATATAACATGTATTTTATTATTTGCATTGTGCCATCACTGACTTGAAGGGTTTGCCCAGCTTTTCTGACCAAAAACATTAACCATACATCAATTTACTTTATTTTGAAAGCAAAATCACCAGATTTCCGGTCTTGTGCTGATTAATGTTCCCAACTTGTCACAGTCAGCTTGACTTGGTGACAGCAGCTTCACTGCTGAGCGACATTTGAGGTGATTTCTGTCGCCCCTTGTGGGCAAATTGTGTAACAGCAAGTCGCGGTACTGTAATCGAACCCACCTCCCGCCGGCACTGTGCGTATTTCCAAATAGGGACAAATATGAGAGCCGGTTTGTGCCTTCAACCATGCGTGTTGTATGTATATATTGTGCATGATACGTAATACAACTCAAAAGGGCTTTTATTAAGACCTCTCCTCCTATGAATTACACTGTACACTGAGAGTGTACTATGACGTTATTTGCTTAACATCATAGGAATTAAAATATTTTTTAAAAAGTCAATAAAGCATAGGCTACATGTCAGATATAGTCATGTTCTGTTGCACGACAACTTGTGTGCTCCACCTTTAATTAGAACGATCAAAAGATTTCCTTCTCTCTTTAGTTGAACAACAATGAAAGAAACTTCAATCAAGTTCAGTTAAAACCTTTATTGTATTTCTTTTTCTAGGATAGTATTCACACACAATACATAGGCTACTGTAGGCATCACACACACAGTCTCACACACACCAAGACTCACATACACGCAAATCTCGACTGACATTAGAGAATTGCAATGACAGGGAAAAAATGACATAAACACACTGATTGCATTCAACACAACACTGTCACACATATCACAGCAGTCTTTAAATTAATACTTAAAATGACCCCATGCACCGCCTGATTCTCTGATAAAAGGCTTTTGATTTTTTTCACACATAATTATGTCTCGTAATATTTTTTACTTTCATCCTTTCCTATAGCTCTTTAAGTCAAAAAGCATAATCTTTTATAGAAGACAGAACACAGAGAGGATAGAAAATGTGTTAGAATTCACTGCAGAAGCCGGACAGAGTTGACGTGGAGATGGTAGAGGAAGTCTGCATAGGATGCCCCACCGTTGGGACTTTTGTCCTCCACCAAGTGGCGCTGCAAGGCCTCCTCGCAGGTGTCACCCTGCTTCACCACCCACAGCTGAGACAGAAAAACAGACACATGGTTACACTTGCACTAAGTGAGGCAACATCATGGATGTATAATAAGAACTGGATACAGCGTGGGAGGCGGGGCCTCGTTCATTCCTATGAGAGTTGCTCATTGGCGCATGAAGACAAAATGGCCCAACTTTTGAGAGAGCGAAACGTCACGAAAGTATTCATATAATCATATAATCCGTTCTTATTGTGCATCCATGGGTAAAGGTGAAACTCATGTAGTACTGAACACGACACATGAACGTGCCGGGCGGCGCAGTCCCGTGGGTTAGATGCGCGTTCATAATGCCGAGGAAAATAACTCTCAGAATAACGTTATTAGCACATTTTACAACTTGAAGACCGAATGTTTTTTTGTTCATACTGGATAGTTTATTTAGTTTAAAAAAAATTATCCAACGATTTACAGACGTCTCTTTCCCAATGTTAGTCAATGGGAAAAAGTATTTCCGGGCCCGGCAACTGATACGGAAGTGTAGTACCGCCGTTTGGCCACAACGAATATTTTCCTCAGAGTCCGGCGCACTTCCTGGGGGCTTGGGCAACATGTGGCAACTGAAACCAAAGGGAAAAACTCAGAAAGTGCAAAGGTCAAAATAGGTCAAAAGTTGGTGCTCAACTTCTCACTGTTATTGTTTTGTTTTTCTTTCACCTAATTTCACATAGTATAAACTTTATAGCTCTTCCATGATTTTTTTGTTATATGAAAAAATGTGAAATGACAAATTCAAAATGTTTTGGGAGGAAGTGTTGGTTTGCTTATACCCACAATGCAAAATAGAAATAGGATGTCAAACTGGGGGAAATTTCTCCAATTGCTAAAATTGCTCAATGATATCTCCACATAACAGAAAAAGTGCATGTGTTTGTATATGTATTCATACTGTTTATAGGTCCTGTGCATGTGTGTGCATTGTCCTGTGTGTAATCACAAATGAGTGAACACATGAATTTCTCTTTGGGGATAAAATAAAGGTTCATCTTCTTCATATTAAAAAAATAAATCCAATGTCCAACTTGGAATGAACATTAGGAGGATTAGATTCAGCTTTTTCCTCGAGGTAGCTCTAATTGACTGAGTAGACATGAGGAGTGGGAAAGCGACTGAGTAGTTAGAGGTGTCAGCAGCTCACCTTGCGGGCACAGGGAGCCTGAGAGTTCAGAGTGCCGATGAGGGACCGCACTCTGATGGACAGAGGGTTATCAAGAACTGGCAGCTTGGTCTGAAGAAACACAACACAGCAGAAAAGAGAGTCAACTCAACAGTGAACCTGTCAGTGTTGCAGGGAACGACATCACCAGGAAGAAAAGCAATCATTGGTGTCTTTATAGCCCTTTGGGTTCAATCTGTGTTCTACTAAAGGGCTCAGTTCAGTAGTTAAAGGCATCATTATATTTTTACATCCCATCCCCAACACCATGTTTTCCTCTTCTCAATAACGTTCTAACATTACTCTACGCTTTATACATTTCTGTTAATAGCTGACATAAAACTTTGTTTATATAAGTTGTATTATTCCAACAAGCATCTTCTTATGCGAGAAGGTTAAATGTATTTATTATTGAATGTTTGAAACATATACAGCGCAAACAGATGCAGGCAATAAGAAGTTTTTTTTAATTAAAATGCTTATTTTTTACACTATACACTATTATAAAACACTCTTGATTTAATAAGGCATATTATCTGCTTTAGATAATATACACCAATTAATATCATATGGTTCATTTAAAAAAAATCAAAAAAATCCAAATACGTTTTCAACGTGCTTCACAGACATAAAAAGAGTAAGTACAAATATTAGATTATTTAACTCAGACAAGAGGAACATAGATAAAACACAATGAATACACATTTTGAGAATAAATCAATGAATACAAAAAACAGACAAAAAAGGAAAAGCTAAGAGACATTTTTTTAAACGTATAAAACAAATAGTTTTAAAAGAGCTTAGCATTACTGTATGAGTGAGTATCTGTCTGATCTCTTACCTCTCCAGAGGGCAGGGAAGAGAAGCAGTTGTTGTTGAAGAGTTCCACCAGGGTGCATGCTGGGACTTGGTCACCCACCCAGAGCAGCAGTGTGAGGGGTGCATGAATCAGATACAGACATCCGGGCTCCAGGCTGGCCGCGCAGCAGCGCAGAGCCTCCGGGGGGGGTGGAGAGACGGAGCTGTTAGCTGCCAGCGGCTGCAGGGGCAAGATGAGTGGATGTGGGTCAGAAAGGAAAATAATGCTAAGATTGCTTTGTACTAATAATAATCATGAAAAATAATGTAGCCTAATCTGTATCACCAATGGTGCAGAAATACTGGCAGAGTAAAGAGATGCAGAAAAACAAATCTGTGCGTTGATCTAAAACATTAATCTTACCGTTATAAATTGTTAACTCAATACAGCTACTGTAACCACAAAGAATTGTTGAGCTGAAGTTATTTCGTATTGTCTGACAGAAGCTGAAAGTCAACTAAAACTAGTTACATTTGTCGATGCTGGAGTGCCTTACAATATGAGATACACTAAATAAGATGTCAAAAGTAATACCTCCAAAACTACAGTTGTGTTATTGATCGCTAGAAAGTGAATACTATGGCTTTCAGCACCGTGATGCAGAATTTCCCCCTGAGACGTCACCCTCACTGATGAAGACCAAGTCCCTGTTGGTAAATGGTTACCTACTCAATACAGCCATTGCATTACATTACATTGTTACTTGTCAGACGCTTTTACCCAAGGCGACTTACATACACTCAATACTGTGGGCAATTGCCACAGAAGTTATTTGGGGTAAAGTGTCTTTCCCAGGGACACAATGACATGCTGACTGCAGTGGGTCTCAAGGTGGGATTGAACCGGTGCTCCCCTGATTTGAAGATCACTGAGCCACAGCCTCCCTATAGGCTCAATACAGCCATTATAACCACAAAGGGGGCACTGACCAGAGGCAGCAGCAGAGGGTAGAAGTGAGTGGAGGTGCTGCAGGTGTCCATGCCGAGCACCTGGCAGCGCTGCTGCAGTCGCTGGTGGATGGAGCTCCTCAGGCCCGGCAGCAGCACCTCGCTCTTCCTCAGACTGTTGATGTAAACAGGAAGTGCTCGCAGGTACTGAGGGAGGACCAGCTACACGACACACACACAGAACACAGGACATGATGTCAACATATTTAAATCCACTCCAGGTTTGCACAGTGACAGTTACAGAGGGAATGTAGCGGATAAAACAAACTCAAAATAAAACTTCCACTGAGGCACTAGGTAGCTAATCTTTCAAAGGATTAATAAATTGTCCAGGCAAAAATATATTTTATCTTTTTTACGATCAAAAGGAACAATGAACAATAGCTTTACTTCCTCTCTGGACACCCGGCTTGCCCGGTTTAAAAACAAAGCCTGAAGTTGTGCCTGGAGCTGCCTTCAAAAATGAAACGAAAACAACGACTTTTATGTAAAATAATGACACTATATAACAATCCAAAAACAGCAAGAAGATACATGTTTAACTTGTTATTATTATAAATCAATGAAAAGCTCCACCAGGGAGGAACATGATATCTGAGGGTAAATGTGGTTCATAAAGAAAAGAAAGAAAAAAAAAATGAAGGTAAAACTGAATAATTGCCAAGATTTTCCTCTACAATAACGAAAAAGAAAGACTTTTGAGATATTCAAACAGTGCAGCTTTACAGATGTAGCACTCTAGAAAGGACTCCATCCAGAGGATTCCAACCAAAAACCCAGCGTTTACCAGTGGCTGGGATTTTAAAGCCCTCCCACTATTTCCCGAGAGGGCGTTGCCAGATTTCCCCATTTGTTCAATTTCAGGATTTAACCATGAGATGGCGCTTCATTCACAAATACACAAAGACAACTGGGTGAACTTTGGTCTTCAGTTTGTTTCCTGGGGCCTCATTTATAACGCCTTGCGTAGGATTGACGTGAGAAGGTTGCTTACGTAGTACAAAGCAAAAAAATAGGTACAGAAATGTTCCGACATTTTCCGATTCACAAAACATTGCGTACCGGCGAGGGAAGTGCGTACCGGCACTTCCTACGCCCGTTTCCCTTTATAAATCACAATCGACTTGAAATGCGGCGCAGCTTTTGCAGGCTTCACGTAACGCCCATATTTGCCTATACATAGTCAAAGAAACGCCCATTCATTCATTCATTTTTGACTGACTGCATGAAGAAGATCGCAGAAAATTACGACCGAACAGCTAAAAAAGACATCTCACACCGTGTCAGATTTTGGTTATTTTGGGGAGGTCGAGATAAATCATATTGTTTGGTGGATGCAGTTTGAACCAGAGTAGCAGCATGGAGGTCGGATCGTCACCAAAATAAATAAATAAGTGGTCCGAAAAAAGTTAATGACAAAAAAATTACATATAGCCTTCCTCAGGCAGTGTGTTTGTCCCGGGGACAGGAGACACCCCCTTGATGAGAAACTGTAAGAAATGATCGGGGAATCCCTCCGGAGTGGAGTCATGACGACTGGATCTGAATTATTTTTGTTGTATTTGGTGGTTTTGTGTTCCAGCTGTCGATCAGCAACTATATATCCATAATCCACCAGTTAAAGGAAATACAACTAATGGATTGTGTTAGTATATTAGCTGTACAATTTACCACATATGGTGTTCTTAGTTTCCATACCTCCTGTGTTTTACGAGCGACTTATCAAGTCTTGGCAAACGACATAAAACACGATTAAACATGATAGTATATAAAACCATGCTCGTATCTACAACCTATAGAAATGCAAAACGGCGTCAGTTTAGACGTTATTCTGTCCTCCTGCTTACCGCATCATTTATGAGAAAACATTTCATAACATTAACACAACATATTCGAGGTGGTTTTAAATAACATATCCGTATTTATTTATTTCCCCAAGTTATGTTTTTGTGTGCACTGAGGAGTCTCAAACAGGCGTTTGTTTAATCATTTTAAGATTGGCTTTAATCAATGTTTGAAAAGGAATTCTTCATATTTGATAAATGAGAGGTAACATTTTATTTATGGTATTATTTCCACATATTTCTCTCCATTCTTCCTTCTGCCAACGGTGTCGCAGTTTCTCGTCTCTCCCGTTGTTGTGCTTAGTGCGTACGCATGGGTCAGAGTTTGCGTGGAGGACAGCATATTTTCCCGTCAAGTTAGTATTTTATAAATCGCAAACATTGCGTAGAAACTGGCGTACGCCATATTTTGAGCGTATATCCCTTTATAAATGAGGCCCCTGGACTTTCAGTACTTCAGTAATGTTTGCAGCTCTGCAGTTGTGTTTGCTGAAGAGCATTTAAACACATATTTGTTATGGTTTTCACAGGCTAAAAAACATCAATATTTTAGATCAAATAAAGTATATCTAATCTTATTATCTTAATTGTAATTCAATAATATATAGTCTTTATATATTAAATAATCATAATAATAATGTAAATGTTTACACTTCTTACATTTTTTATGCTCATACTTTTACCTTTACAATAGTTTGCTTTAATATGCAGTATATTTTTCGTAATATTGTTGTGGTGTTTTAACAGTACAGTAGATCGAAGTAAATCAACTTATACATTATCATGTATTATAATGTGTTGCATTATTAAGTAATATCATACATTAACCCCATTATAGCAGATGCCACATGGAATGGATGAACACATTTATGCATCAATAATTACATCGGAGTATTTCTAAATATACGTTGTAAAAATACTTATATGTATTTAATACTAACAACATAATGATTCATTTTACTTTCAGATGATAATACTTTTCACTTGGGCAATTGACAATTTTGAATGCAGGACATTTACTTCTAACACGTATTTGTACCTAGGTAAATAATCGGAATACTTCTTCCACCTCTGATTTTGGACCCTGTCACTGTTTAAAAACTTTAATTAAATGTTTGATATTTCCAGAGACCCTTTACTGCTGGAGAACAGAGGGGGGATGGGAGAGTTTTGTCACATTCCAATGGGCCATTACTAGATTTGAAACAAAGAGAGTCACAGCCCTGCATTGATCACCTTAAGGGAGCTGTCGGGGGTGGGGGGTGTTGAACGGTACATGGTCAATGTTTGTTTAAAAATGTTTGCAGTCGCGAAAGCTCTAAGCCAATCGGACATGGACAAAAAAAAGGATCAGTCTATGTGTCGAGGGGGAACTAGAGACAACCCTCTGCCTTTACAGCCATGGTCCGGTCTGACAGCGCTTAGCTCTCTGCTGCAGAGAGGAAGAGAAGATCACTGCTCTAAACAAAGTCAAAAATCGTACATCCAAAACGGAATCAATAAAATTAATTATTATTAATACGTTAAGTCTTGTTCATTGTTTTTCACTTTTATTAAATGTTTGATATTTCCGGCACAGACCCTTTCATACCGGCAATGCGCGATAGAAACAACAGGAACTGTGACAGCATAAATATGCAAACACAAACCTACAGTTAAACTTTACTGCTGGAGAAGAGAGATCACAGGGGGGGTGGGAGAGCTGTGGCTGATTGGCCATTAGGTGTGTAAACAAAGAGAGTCACACACAGCCCTCGCTGATCAGCTGATCACCTGAGAGCTGCCGAGTTTCATTCAGACTATTTAAAAAAACAACGGTCTGATTTTAACATTGCACAACAATGAACTCAATGTGTGATTATTATAGCAGTAATATTAAAAACTAATAATACTGTAAACTATTAACACTGTAGGCTACATATTCTTGTTTGCCCGTGGTGAGATGACGAGGCTCCATTAAAAATAAACCTCTTTTTAGTGAATTACTGAGCGCACGTTAATAAAGTTTTAATGAAGTTGACTACAGCAAATTCATATTTGTTAGTGCTTTCATGTCAATTCGGCGAACATATGATACATTAAATGATCGTGAGGATGATGATTAAAAATCGCTTGTTTGAGCCGGGCTGGATTTCCTGATGAAAAAACAAACCAATTGTTTTCACATGGTGATGTATTGTAAATGATTACATGTCTCTTATTTAGCACAGAATATGATCCTATCCGTGACATATGGATCTTAACAAAGATCTGCTATAGTAATCAGACATAAATCTATCAGCTGTTTATTTCACATGAGTTCCAGTGTGGCAGCTTTTTAATCACTGCTCCCCCTGGTGGATCCATGATCCATTGCAGCTGGTTTCATTATAATTCATCAAGGGGACGTATCAAGTCAAGCGGGGGGTTTTCCTTTCTGCGAGGATCGACTCCGTGCCGATCACGGCCCCACTCCGGTAGGGACGTCCGAAATGAGGTGCTACATCTGTATGTTGTAATGACGTCAACGTCATACTTTAAAGTGTATGTTATGATTCTAAAGCTGACCTGTCCAGCAGACACTGTAGCGGAGCAGCAGTGTCTGCGGTAAGATGCCAGCGCCTCTGTGACCTCCGTCTGCAGTTCCTCCCTCAGCTCCTGAAGAGGGCGCTCCAACACCGTGCAGTAAACTACACCAAAACACAAATTAAAGTTTTCTTACAATGTCACATTTTAATTCAATACATTTTTTCCACTTTTTAATTTTGAGAATTACTGTACACAAATGAAACCGTAAAGCAACTAGGACATTCTAATGACTAGTACATAGTATATTGCCCTTCACCTTATATATATATACAATGCAGCTTTACAGGGGAATCTACTGGGCTTTAGATTCTGAAAAATCTTGCTTTGTTTATGGAAAATATTGTAGTTGTAGTCAGTGGTGGAAGAAGTACTCTGATGTTTACTTATGTAAAAGTAATAATATCACAGTGTAGAAGTGCTTTGTTAAAAGTCTGGCATTCAACATGTTATTCAAGTAAAAGTACAAAAGCATCAAACTATATTTAAAGTAAGAACTAAAAGTATTCATTATGCAGAATGTCCTTTTATTGTGTCGCAGGATTATAATTGATCAATTCATATAAACACAATTTTAATTTTGCATCTGGTCACTTCAAAGACTTTTATATACTGCCAGGTATCTAAACCCATAACAAAAATCTCTAATCATTTATTTTCATTTTATTTATATTTTGTATCAATCATATGACCTCGCAAAGTAACTAGTAACTTTTCATGCCAAATAAATGTGGTGAGCAAAACATATCATTTTTTCTGAGTTACTTTCCAACATGTTCATAATTTCAGGGATGACACCTATATCTTAACTATGAGGGTATCTATAAACCAGGTTGATCATGATCTCATTTGATTTCAGATGCATTATTAATATAAATTGGACAATGACAAATTAAGGTGGAATAAAGGATGTATCGTTTTAATTTAAAAACAGTATACTTTTCAAACTTTTTCAAATACAATATAATAATCTATGTTAGTATCACAGAGCAGTGTATTTATTTCCAGGCATTAATGCTACTTAGCTGTTAACATCAACTGATGCAGAGCAGACATATTGCTTTAGTATACAATAAAAGCCTTACTTTTTTTGCTGTAGAATGTGAGCAGTGTTTGGGCCTGGTACTGCCGGAAAGTGTCCTGAAGGTGACGAGAGCATCGCAGGGTCAGAGTGTGAACTCTGGTCCTCCTGTCTCCTGTCCTGGTGCTGTAAGACAAAACAGTCTAACAAACAGGGGGGGGGGAGAGTTAAAGGGAATGGCTCCTCAGAAAATCTCTTAAATCAAAATATCTGTCTTTTCTTAGTAATCTTTTTATAAAACAAAAAATATTGTTGCCTCATTCAAAAGTAAAACAAAAAGTGAATAAAAAGTGTAATAATTCAATAAAATCTCAACTAAAAGAATGATTTGGGTGAGAAAAAGACAACACAAGTGTCTGTAAATTCAACCAACTTTTGATCTAATTTGACGATCACTAACAATAATTAACCACCTGTATGGCAACACCTCTGGTCTCGTCTAGAGCTCTGGAGTGTGCGAGCTCTACAGCCAGCGTCGTCCTCCAATCAACAGTCGCCATGGTGACCTGGCTGGGGCTAGGCCCAGGGAGGAAAAGTCCATAACAGCCGGACACACGCATATCTGGGGACAACAGGCAAGAAGCGTAGAATCACTAGTTGTTTTATTTTTTTTTAAAAGGTGACTAGCACAAACAAAGAAGTCTCACCTTTGCTGACAAAGATCCTGAGCTCAGCCTTGTAGCCGGTGTCCGTCTCTAAAATCTTGTTTAGATCAGTGCTGAAACGTTCTCTGTCCAACTCTCCCTGTAGGGGGAATTAAAGAGATACCACTCTACAATGGGACCTCTAACACCTCTGTCTGCTTAGCATATAGTCTAATTGCCAGCTCATAAAGTCCTATTCTGAACCCGGAAATGTAGAGTACCCCATCGTTTTATGTTAGAATGGTCAAGTACGGGTCCCCAGCACATAGAAACTGCTGGATGCTAACTCGCATATGTTGGGCAATTTGCACAATGATCATAAGTTGTGTTAGTTAGCATGATTACCATTATAGCCTATGGGGACAATATTCAAAAAATAAAAATTGAGTGGTTTTGGGGTTATTGGGGATGCTGAGTCCATTTCTGACATTTTCAGGATCAAGAATGGCAGATTTAACCAGAGAGTGGCCATATTTGTACTCCCAGTGGGATGATTTTGATGAATTTTGGGTACATTTTAAAGTTTGAGGGGACTCATAACTGCCATTCTTGATCCTAAACATGTCAGAATTTCATTAACCCTTAGATGCACGAGTGACTGGACCGTACACTCTTCCATAAGTGGGTCACAAAGGACCCGTATTAGAATAATATGTGTTTTTATGCCATTTTTGTCATTTTGGTTAAGAAAAATCTCTTGTATAATATTTAGTATTATATTTTGGTTCACACTAGAAATATCTTATATTTAATTTTTCAATGTTTATAATGACATTTTTTTTACATTTTGCAAAAAAACGTTTTGAACATATTGATGCAAAGATCCAACCCTCTCTTACCTGCCCTGCAACTGAACGACCTATCCTACCTTTATTTCATCCCACCTTGACTACTGTAACTCACTTCTCTACGGCATCCACTCCCCCTCCCTCGATAGACTCCAAATTGTAAAAAATGATTATACTGACAGGTATCAGATCTTGCTGTGTAAAATAATCTTCCCGAGAGGTGTCACTTGTGATGTAGTCTGTGTGCTCTACAGTGAATGTATTCCTGACAGCAACAGGTGATAAGAATCAAAGGTTCCCATAGGATTCCATAGAAAATGCATGCGGGTCATTTTTGACCCACTTATGGAAGCTTGGGGTAGTAATACAAAAACTACAATTTGAATGGCATGATATCCAAAACATGTTTTTTGAGGAATAGCTGGAATATGAAATGATGAAAAAAATGTAATTACAAAGATATTTCAAGAAAACCACCTCACCGGGTCAAAAAAGACCCACTTACATCCTCGATTTACCTAAAAAACCACAACAAAATTGTGAATCAGCAAAGCCATTGATTAGCTAGTGTCTGCACCTAATTAATGCTAAATAATACCAATTGTGCAAATTGCCCAACATATGCAAGTTAGCATCCGGCAGTTTCTATGGGCTGGGGACCCGTACTATACATTTACATCATAAAACGTTGGGGTACTCTATATTTCGGGGTTCACACTGCTGGCAAGGCAAGTAGACTAATATTCCAACAGTCTGCATAAAAATACATCAAAAAACAATTATTCTAAGTTGCAGAAATATACATTTTTGGACACATTTTTGAAATTGGTAGATGGTGTTTTTGTGTCAAGTCAAGCTAGCTACTTGCTGTATATTTAAATTTAGCAGAAAAGAATGTTGTATAAGCCTATTTTCCAAAATGTCTACTATTCCTGTAAAAACAAAGCAGCTTTCTTCTTCATGCAGTTTATTCTGAGCCATTTCCAGTGCTACATTGTGAGGGGCTGTTGATATACCTGGAGGTGGCTGTAGGTGTACAGAGCTCCACCTGTTAGATATGGTATGTGCCCCGGCCAAGCCCCGCCCACATCTTGCTGGGAGAGGACAAACAGGCTAACCCCGCAGCCTTGACTGACGCACTCCTTGGCCAATGAGATGGCTGGATCTGACGGCTGAAAGATGGACTGGAAGAAAAAAATGAAGAGGGAATTAATTGAAGTGTACATTAGTGAAGCCTCCACCTGTACTGGAAGCCAACTGTGCGTGTGTGTTTTTGTGAGTTGCGTACCTTTGGTTTGTTTGAGCCAAAGAACCCTGAGGACGAGTGTGTGAGTCCCATCTCTGTCAGAGGAGCAGTGTGGAAAATCAGCAGCTTGCCAGGACAACTCAGAGCCTGGAAACAAACAAAAATAACGTGTTTGTGTTACTTCCAATAGGCAAGTTGTGGGAGAGGATGGCTTGGCAAAGTAACACCTCTGCCAAAAAATATATGCAATATCTGAGCAGAGATTACTGACCTGAAGGACGGCTAGCCCTGCTTTCACCGGCAGCTCGATGGGAACTCCACTAGAGCTATCACACTCCGGACTGAACTGAGGAACAAGCTGCAGCACACTAAACACAGACAACCGACAAGTAGGGATTACTTGAAAACCACATTTATACCAAAGTGATTTAGAAAAACTTTCAAAACAAAATGAACAAATTTAATTATTTAAGTGTTTGTTACTTTCTAGGTAGAGACAACATTTTCTGAGAGGGACTATACTATAAACGTTAGTCATATGTGGGTCAACTGTGTCCAGCAACAGAACATGGAAGATTACACAATTGCACTACTTCATCGTCGCAACCACTAAGCTAAGAACTAAGGATAAATCTACAAGTTGGAATTGGAAAGTTTGAGTTAAAATAGTTTGAACTCTTTAGTCTCATTGAACTTGTTAGCCTTACATGTTTTTAGACATGTAAGAGATTCAAAATATATGAGGTATTTACGGATATATTTTAGGTTTTCTAACGAAATGTGAAAATCTTTAAAAAATTGGGGGAAAGGGAAGTTTGGGGCTCTCTGCTGGAACTGCTCTCTGCTGGAACTGCTACCGCCGCAACCCGTCCACAGATAAGCGGGAGAAGATGGATGGAAAATCTCTTAAACTTGTGTTAACCACAGACCTCATTTTAGGCAAAAACCCATTCAATAAACACTTTTGACTTCGAGACAAACCTCAAGTGCAAAAATGATGACTCATTTGGCAGCTTTTAGGATTCAAATATAAAAGAAAACTAAACTGGTCAGATTTAGGCTGTATTTGTAAAGCTAGAACATACAAAAGCCAATATTACTTAGAAGAGTGATTAATACAACTAGGGGCTGATTATGATTCTGCAAAATGCATCTGACAGGAGTCAGTGAACGCTTGTGTTACCTGTCGATACTGTCTATACAGTCTTTCAGGGGCACCAGAAGCCCCTCCCTCACAGGAAGCTGCAGGTCTTCTGTCTCCGTGATGACCAGCATGTGTGGGCGGGACAGGGCGGGGCTGAGGTCGTACAGGTGGATCCTGCTGTCGTACGTCATCAAACCCACACGGACGTCACCATCCTCCCTACACAAAATGAAGAAACTTTAAAGATTGCAGCCTGAAAACCAGTATGTTGATCCTTTTCTCTAGTATTGCATTTTTTTCCAAAACTGAATAGGGAAAGGTGTGTGTGAGCTTGTCTTACATCTTCAGCGATGTGAGCAGAGTGAGTATTTGTTGTGTTGCAAACTCCAAATGTCCTCCTCTCACCGCGGACGCAGACACATCTATGGCTAGGAGCAGGGCGGCAGGTTCACCCTGAAACCAGTACAACAATTAAGAGAAATGAGAGGCCAAAAAAGATACAGGTTGACTGAATTGTGGGATAGAAAATTCCACTTTTAATCCTAAAGTTACAGTTTACAGACTCTGGATTCTGTACATGAAAAAATGGCTGCAACTGTATTATTTCAATTAAAGGTGGGGTATGTAATTTATTTCAGAAACACTTTTTGTTATATTCCATGGAATGCTCTTAACATCCCGATAGCAATTAATACATTAAATGCTTTGACAATAAATACATAAAAAAATGTCATCTGTGGAAGCCGTAGTACTGTAAAAAGCACGACCAATCATTTTAGCCGGCCCGGCTAAAATAACTGGATGGCCTACCTGCCTGTCAGCCTTCCATCTGTGCACAAACTTATCTCGTGCCCTCATTGGTCATGTGAGCGTCTGTGTGTGTTGGAGGAGGGGCTCTGTAAGGAAGTCTGAAGGAAGTGGCAGATTTTTTCCGGTTGTGTATTTTCAAGTTCTAGCGCACTCGAGCTGGTTTCTCCAAAATTACATACCCCACCTTTAAGTCATTTATAATTTCGATCTGCAATATGTCAGAAAAGAGCAAAAATATCCTTTTAGAAGTTTACACAGAGCACTTAACATTTTCCATTGCTTGTTTTGTCTCACAGACTAAAACCCCCAAAAGTAATTGTAATGATTTATAAAGCATCACATTCTCACATTTGAGAAGCTAAAATGTGCAAGTAATTAATACTAATGCGTTATAAATATCTTATTTATTAATGGAGGATATCAGGTTGTAGAAAGAATGTTTCATACTGTATGTGTAACATCCAGGCTGCTACGTCCCATCACACACAGATGGTAATATGTTTGATAAAGCTCATATTAAAGAGCAGGTAAATAAAAAACTAACTTTCTGAGAATTAACTTTCTCGTAGGACCCCATACTGAGTTCAGGCCTGTTGTCTTTATCCAACCGAGCACCCTCCACCCCTTTGGTGGGCTGGTAGTGTTGCCACGGCACTGAAACACAAGAGGAGAGAAAAGCTGCTGCTGAATGCAAAGTAAGCAACAAACTCAAGAACTTTCATTCAGGGAAGCCGTTAAATACATTTAAGGGGCCCTATTATGCTTTTCGCCTTTCCTGTAGTGTTTTATATAGGTTTGTGTGCATGTTAATGGTCTGCAGAGGCTAAAATCCCCAAGTTCCCCCCAGATGGAGTTTCTCTCCCACAGTCTCCCCCCCTGCCTGAAACGCCGCCATTGACGTCCTGTGTTTGCTTCTGTAGCATAATGACATCACCGTGTAACACTTGTGCTTCTATTGGCTAGTGCTCCAACACATTGTATATGATAGGTTAAAGGGCGGGACATCTCTTAACAGTTTAACAATCACAACAGATCCGCCCAGCTAACCAATCAGAGCAAACTGGGCTCTGGTTTCAGACAGAGGGTGAAAAGAGGTGCTGCAGCAGGATTCAAGATTGTTCAAGATTCAAGGCTGTATTGTCATGTGCACAGTAGCTACAGTGTATATGGCAATGACAAACTTAAGTCACAGGCTCCTCCAACAATGCAACATGAATATATATGGGACATAAAACAAATAAAATAGTGCAAGAGAATATTTTGAGTAAATACAAATAAAATAGAAATAGTGCAAGAAGAGTCTATATACAAGTAAATGGAATATGATATAAAGCACAGGCAGTATGAGGAAAATAAAGCACTTTTTGAACATTAAAGCATGTAAACATGTCACAGAAGAGGCTCAAAATACAAATATTAACCTGAAAATGAGAACAACAGGGCCCGACTAAAGTGGCTTTGAATTTATATTTAATCACTGGAGAAGAATGGCATTGTTCCGCCCAGGAAATTATATTTTCATAACTGAACTGGGAACACAGATATCTTACAGGTGTGACCCTGACGCTGAGCTACAGTCTGGGTATGTAACATGTAATGGTATGAGCATTCCCTGTATGGGTACATGTTTTAGTTCTTACCTTCACTGAGTTTCCCGCAGAAGGGGCAGTAAAACCTCTGACCACAGTCCTGCCAGCCCATCGCCGGGCACATGGAGGCTCCGCAACAACCACAACTTGAAACACACTCTGGCTCTGTGCACACAGGCAGGGGCTTGAAGAGGCAAGAAACACACACACACACACACATTAAAAACATATTTTAACCTTCACAGAAGCTTCACATATGTCAATTGTGGCATTCGCTTCACATTTCTCTAGATATAATTATGAGTAACTATGATTGCTGTTATTTTTCCTATATCATTTTTAAGAGATTATTAGAAAAAGCAGATTAGCTAGACACTGACCTCTCCATCATTTTGCTTGGCTAGAGGGGTGACCAGAGCTCCCAGCGGCAGACGGCTGAGCAGAGCAGTCTGAGCATCACAGGGCATACAGTACGACGCAGAGCGGATGGCTAAAGGACTCGCGTTACCTAGAGATCAACAGAGACACGGTCCAGAATTACATGAAGGTTGGTTTTAGACACACAAAATGGAGACAGGAAGAGGTGAACGGAGAAAACGCCCAAACATAAAGTATCATATTTGTAATTCACAACTAAATCGGAGTCCTTCACAAAACAACATACGCTATAATGACTTTAAAATACTCTAATTTAACTACCTGCAGATATTATTGTCATAATCCTTTCAACAGTATGTCCAAAATATTTCTGATAACTGGAATCATATAGTATAGCGAGCACACACTATTATAACTATTACAAACCATACACTAGATGTTTTCCAAGGTTGGTCCCATTTTTCTTCAATTAAATATGTTTCAGATTTTTTCTAGTCGCCTCCATCAATAATGCATGGTATAACTTCTACAGAAAATTCTCTGTGCAAAGTAGATTACATTTCAGTGATGTGGATGCCAGATTAGGAAGCCATTTTTACCTAGCTTTACATACAGGGTAAAAAACAACAAAGATACAGTGTTGTGTGTGTTTACCTCTGTCCTCTATGATACAGGAGGTAGTTGCCAGAGGAGGGAGACGGGAAAAGGGCTCTGAGACGAAGACCTTGCCCTCCCACTCTGCACTGTCATCTGCGATCACCTTCACCTGGGAAACAGAGAGAGAGAAAGAGACAGGGGTGCAACCTTATCAACCTGCAAGACTGTGAATACAGATCACTATGGTTAAACAGGGGCAGGATCTTTTATAAAACATCTTCTTCTTACAATAAGTAGATTTTGTCGGAAGAAACAAGTAGTAGTTTTGCGGCTCTTACTTTAAGTTAAAAATAATAATGATTGGAAAATGTTAGAAGTCAAGTATTGCACTCTTTATTTGCGTTTTTTTCTTAAAGATGTACCATAAAGGGAAGCACACATCAGCAGCGGATGGCACTCGTCCTTTGATGAGGGCTTCATCATGCTGCCAGTGTGTGTAGCCAAGTTGCTCAGTTTGCATGGAGCCAAAAATGGACTGACATCAGATAAGAAAACGTATCTGGATCATTCAGGGACTGAGGTCAATAGAGCACCATAATGATTTGATTATGTGCTATAAAAGTGTTCATACTGGGTTGTTGATTTAGCTCAACAAAAAAATGATACACATATTTACATATGTCTATTTCCCAATTTAAATCAATGGGAAAAAAGTATTTTTGGGACCAAATGACGTCATTGACTAGAACGTAGTGATGTAGGCAAATTTGCTTCAACGCCCGCCACACTTCCTTGGGGCTTGGTGTATCCCTTAATAGTTTAACATTGTCAGAGGAGCTAAGGGCTAGGCAATATATCAATATAATATCCATTGGTTGCTAAGAAACTAGATATCCTCTGAGATTTAGGAAATCGTAAGTGTAAAATTGATGTAATTTTCTGAATTTACCAGCGTTTAAACAGCATGGGTCTAACCCTACAATATATTCACAATATCGATATTGTGGTACTCTCTTCACATTGCCCAGCCCTACAGGAGCCGCAGAAGAACGGTAAAGAAAGAAGGTGACGAGAGAGGATAAAACAACTCACAACACTGGGCAGGAGCTCTGGGTCCAGACCATAACGAGACTCAGAGCTAGGAGACTGGAGGGGAAAAAACAATTAGTCTTGAATAATATATAATAACACATAGACGTCAAATTTTGTGAGATTCTAGACTTTATATACAACATGATTGAAGCAATAAAGTCTAGGGGCTCCATGGGAAATTATCTAACAATCTAAATGGTATACTTAGGGATATTTCCATGCAACAACAATGCATAACTGAACAACATGTAGCTGTTATTGCAAGGTACATGGCCAGAAGCAGCTTGAACACCTTTAAAGTTGAATGGAGAATCTCTATAGTCGAATGATAAACTGATCTATTAGTTGCCTGACAAAATAAATCAACAGTTTTGTTAAACAACAATAATTATCTGGTTTTGCTTTTCCAATATGGAGATCTGCTACCTGTCTCTGTTTGTTTTTGCAATGTGAACTGAATAACTGTTGGATTTGGAGTCTTGGCCAAATAATACATAGATTCATTTAAGACAATAATCTGCAGATGTATCCACAGATATTCAATTGAGCTGGCACTCATACTTCATTAAAGAGTTTTAATGGTGTGACTGTATTTTCCCTACCTGTGGAGTGATGTTCCTGTCCTGTGCAGCCGCATTGGGAACAAACTCGTTTGTGGTCCCTTAGGAGAAAACAGAAGAGTTATGTCATTCTTAAATTAAATGATATCCTTAATTAGGTAGGCTGTTTTAGCTCAGACTTTAGAAAACAGTATTTATTGATCAGTATGATGGTGGTGTACTGTAAACCCTGGATGATTGGACTAATCAGCAGGTCTATAAGGATCTACGGTACTTGTGAATTATCAAACTTTATTTTTTGTTCTAGTCTACATGTTGTATATTTAAGAATGGTTCGTGAGTAATTCTGCAAGTCATTTAATTTAAAGGATCTGCTCCTGAGGGAGGCTTTGCAACATGCATGTTAGTAAATCAACCACAATACAATAGACTTACCTCTTGAGTTTGTTGTGAGAGTCCACTGAGGCTGCTGTGGCGAGGAATGATTGTGTGTGTATCCAACAGAGGATTCCACATTGGCCCTCTCAAATGCAGCCTGAGGTGTAAACTGTGGACTCTGATTTACACCAAATGATAAAGTAGTAATGGGCAAATGTTTTTGTTGGGGTGACTGAGGTCCATTTAATGAACAATGGTGAGTGTATGGGGGCTGTAAAGGGGAAGATATTCCTTGGTAAGGGCTGTGAGGGGAGTAAAAGGGCATTTGTTGGGGCTTGCAGGGATGCGTCCCTTCCTTCATAAGAGCGAGAGAACATGGAGGTATATATCTTCCTTGGCTTGCAGATGGAACCATGGATGAAGCATGAGCATCAGGAGTGACCCGCTGAACACTGTGGTCAGCATTATTAGCATAAAGCGTGCTGTATTCGGTGTTGTTTCTGGATGAAAAGGTTGCAAGTTCGCTCTGGTAGCCGTGGTTGGACACCTGCAGCTGCTCGTAGCCAGGCCTCTGGTCAGAAGGAGAGCTCAGGCTGAGATGCTGAAAACTGGGCAGAGGGTTGCAGGGAGGTCCTTGAGGTGAAGCTGGGGACCAGCCGTTCTGGCCCGCCCACGGCTGACAGGGTGTATCGCTCTGATTGGCTGTGGGGACGTCCATCATCCTTCATTACCATCACTGATAGATGTTTGACTCCTTGGAGGCGGGATCTAGCGGGGCAAAACAAACCTGCAGCGTCGTGATGCGACTCTCGGATCTCTTCTCAGAGGCCAACATGTTGTATTGACAGTTAGCTAAATCAGATAGCTTTCTAATCAATAACAAGCAAAATGCAGCTATTTTTGAGATAACGTTACATCTTTGAAAACTTCCTAACAAAATGTACCTAACGTTTCCCCTGTAAAACTACCACTGTGTTGAACGATTTGTTAATGAGAAGCAATCGTTGATATGAATAACGTTAGCCTACTAGAGGAATTGACTGAGGTTCTTCTGTAGTAAGCTAACAATATTGACACATAACAGAGGTGCATCCTTAAATGTGCAGGGTGAATTAAGATATGTGACCTGAAGGAGCAATGTTATTTGAGGTAATAAAATATTAGATACCTTTGGACATCAGCGGAAACAAGGGGCTTTGCGTGCAGCACTTGTTCGTCCACATTACTAACGTGACCGTTAGCGTCTTCATCTCCCCCTCTGCGACGGAAGCGAAACACTTCAGCAGTTTAACATATGTGAAATATATTAAAATTATATTCAATGACCACAAAATGTGAGAGGATTAATTTAGACTACAAAACAACATTCATGAAACCGAGCCTTTGCTGCAATGTTAGCGTCAAGTTAGCACGGATCACAACACCCCATTTCCGCGTTTCCTTTCAAAGTAAAATACATGGGATACAATAAATACATAATTTGAACTAAAAAACGAAATATTAGAAAACCTGTAAACCATCAAAGTAAATATATTACTGTGGCGCATTGATACATTGTGCTAATATTTTATTATTAATAAGAATCAGCAAATATTTATTGTGGCACCACAATAACATGAATGTCTGATTTATGAAATATTTAGTGTTTTCTAATACTCTAATTTCTTTTCACATTATTAAGACTTTGAATGTGTGACTTTTCTTCTGCAGCCACTTGTTTAGTGGTTCTGAATACTTCTTCCTCCACCAATGTACCGCAGGTCTCCCTTGAAAAAGAGATCGTTGATCTCAATGGGATTTTTTAACCTGGTTAAATAAAGGCTACAAACAAACAAATTGTCATTTCTACATACATGGACAAAGATACAGTAGGCCTGACAGTGTTGGACAAATCGATAAAATACTGTGTGTATTATGTTGTGAGTGGAATAGAGTACAAACTGTTTTTTCACACATAAACTTTAGTTTATTAGAAGGTTGATATGCAAAGTTGACAAAATACAGTATACCAGCATACCAAAGAGAATAACAAAATACAGTATACAAGATAACCTGGTCACCGAAGTGAACTTACTAACCAGCTCATTAGACACCTTATTTGTCAATATCCATGAGCTGTCTCTTTCCAAATGAACTTAATAACATGAAACAGAACACATGACAACCTGTTGTGATACAAAAGAGAATTACAATTAACAAAAATAGAAAAAATAGAAATGTAAATCTATTCTTGGTCATCCTAACCGATGTAAACGCTCACCATGTCACATAAGACACCCCGATGGCGACTGAACAAATAAAAAACAAAGAGGAACAGAGGGTGGCAGAGATAAGCAAATGGAACAGGAAAAAATTGCTTGATTTTACCATTGACCAAATAACCCACTTCTAAAGGTTGAAAATGTCCAATACTTTGCTGTGGTTCTACTTGCCTAGATCAGTTACTGTTTTGGGGTCCTTTTTAGGGCAGTGATCCTGTTTCTGACGTAGTCCTTTACACCTTTCCATGAACGGGTCCTCAGTGCTGGCTCAGCTTCCAGACACTGAACACATTCGTCCTTCTGAGGCACCTTGTACTCTTTAATTAACCGCATCATGTGTCTTTCAACAGCAAGAACCTCTGCTTCCTCCCATTTATGTTTGCCCTTAATTTTGGAGCCTGTGGGTTAAAAGAGAAATGAGTAAACTTTCGCCATCACAAAATAACTTTCTCACACAAGCACTCTACATACTGTTGTCCACATTTAGTCGTAAAGCCTCCAAACTCTATAAATGTTATTTATCTTCACCGGCCATTTTTTCGTTTTGTGTGTCAAGTTTTGACAACAAATTAAGCTTGGACAATATGTAAGAACTCCTATTTTGCCTTAACCCCCCCCTTGATTATTTTGTTATATAAGAAATTCTAAACCAAAGAGAAACAATATTAAAACAATTAATTGATAGAATCACCAATCATGATTGTTCACCATTTTACCTTTTTTGTCTGATTCGAAATATTTTGATGTTACAGTCACGTTGGTGCTTGTTGGTTCACAGCCTGCACCGGAAGGCTCATTGTAATCCCATGATGCAGCTTGTTGTCCTCTCTCTGTGTTGAAGAAAAAACAAGAAAGATTAACTACCTATACACACATTTCCAACAGAGAACAAACAGATAAATAAGACCAAAGGTGCAGCTCCTCAGTGTTGTTTTCAGTCATATTACATCAATTGTTCATAGTACCAATGTCTTACGATACCAAATCCACACATTTTGCAGTTGTGTCCATTCCCAAAGTCCATTAAAGCAACCAACTCCTCCAACCAAGCTTCAGCTATAATCCAGATTTTATGTGATTTAAAGTAACTTTTTATACTAAAGTGAATGTTGATGCTCCTAATTCTAGAACTGTAGATTGCAATGGTTGATTTAGAAAGATATTTAGTAGGTTATAGATTTGAACATCCACCAGATTATTTTTTTATTATCAAGTAAGAAGTAATTAAAACAGCAAAGCACATATATTCTTAAATACTGCTGCATAATAGACAGGTTTTGCATTACGATACATTTAAGTGGCTTGCTCCAAATTACTGTGATGAAAATGATTTGCGATATTCACTTGCAGGTAACACAAAAGGCTGTTGACACCACAATAAACCACAGACTGACTCCTTTTCAAATCCTTTGAATAAATGCAAAATGTATATGTATTTTGTCTGAACTTTATGTTCCGGGTAGATTTGCCGGTGCCAATGACACATTTCCATTTAAAAGGTCAATTTAATTGACGTTAAAGTAATCGGAATCATAATCATCTTAAAAAATAAATAACCCTACCATCTGAATGCATTTCAACGTCATCCAGCTGCTGTCCAAGGCTGCGGACTTGATTGTTGGGGCCTAAAATCTGGTCGGCCTCAGCTTCATTCAGGTTCATCAGCTGTAGCATTTTCCCGTAATGCTTCCGGATCTTTGAGGATGTCAGAGCTGCAGGGTCTTTAGCTCCACATTCTTTGACGTATTTCTGGATGCACTGTGCCCCGGCGTAGGCAGTCAGAGCATTGGGTCGGCCAAACAGGTAAGGATTCTGACTGGGGACTCCACATGTCTCGCGTACCTTTACGAGAAGCTCTATAGCTGACTCAAGTGATGGTTTGAGTAAAACTGGAACCGTTCTGCCGCACTTCCCTGGTATGTTGATTCTGACAAAGAACCTGCACATTTTTTTTTCCAAATCGGTAACGGATATGTCCATGCCGTCTTGCAAGTTTGACTTTTGACGCGACTCAAAAGCTGTTAGTTCCACTGAGGATACCTCTAAAACACTTCTCCTGTTGAAAAATATTGTCCGGGAGAGTATTACATTGGCCAAAGCAGCATAGTTTTCTGCACAAGGGCTTTCTCTGAGGTTTTTTTCAGCAAGAAGATGAACATTCTCCACGTGGATATTCAGGCGCATCACATCTTGAGCAAACGGCACCTTCTTTGCCCTTTTCAGTTTGGTTTTCTTGATGGCTGTTAATGCACCTGCAGAAATATGCTTGTTCCATTTTCTCTTGTACAGAGAGAGGAAGTTTCTCGCAGACTCTGCTGATCTCTCATCACCAGACTTTACTGCGTTCCCCTCGACAATACCACAAGCCTTCTGTAGGTGGTAGCCAAGCTTGATGGCAAGTGAAGGATTGCTGTATGTTTTGTTTTCCGCATTGTAGCCTGCCACGACGTTTACTGCAGACACCACATGTGGGAAGCATGAAGGGAGAAAAAAGTCCTTCAGTTTCTCCAGAGGGGTGATTTTTTTAGCTTCTAGTACAAGTCTTGCTAACTGTCGAAGGTATTGTCTTATATACTCGTGTTTTTTCGGATCAGTTCCGTGATGAGTGAACATGAGCTCGCCAAACTGCAAGAGAACTTCGTCTTCCATGGCAGTTTGCGTCACATCGTCGTATATCATATCGGACAGAATGTTCCTAAAACCATCAGTAATGCTAAGGTCTCCTAAAGTTTGAAGTGCACACCGAGATGCGATATTCTTTCTTCCAAACACAGTCTCGTTCTTCACTCTCTCTGGGCAAACTTTCATGTGTCTGTACATAGGTTTCCTCAGAAAAAGACCTCGACAGTGAAGGCAATGGAGAAAGTCTTTGGCTTTTTTAGTTTGGCTCGGCCTTTTTCGGGCAGCAAGTTGGCCCTTTCCGGATTTCAAGACATCCTTATTATGAGCAAAGTTTCCTAGATTTGTTAATCTGTTCCATATCCTTTGTCTTTCTTTTGATTTTGTGGGGTATTGAAATGCAGCTGCGACTTCTTTTTTGTCACTGTGGTTCCTTTCAAGATGTCGTGACAATTTAAATACTGGCTTAGCACAGTATAAACAATAATTCCTCTTGTCATAGACACGTCTTCCTTTAGAACTTGAACATGGCAACACTACAGTGTCAGAAGACTTTTCTTTCTGAGTAATTGCAGGAGTCTGTTTTGGGGCACTGTCAGTGTTGTCCTCGGACATAGAGCTTTCTGATTCATCTTCTTTTTTTTCTGTCAGAGAAGGTTTTTTGTTTGTGGGGGTCGAGGGTTTGATGTGACTGAATTCATCTGAAGAGCTCCCTTCAGAGTGGAATGGGGAATCAAATAAGTCAGCATCACTGTCAGGCAAGTAATCAGAGTCACTGTCAACCTCAGACTCAGCTGACTCATTTTCCTTAAAAGAAATTTAAAAAAGAAAGAAAATAAATCAGTGGAAATCAGGTCATCGACAATCTGTGGTTGCAGAAAATCTAAGTATATCAGAATTGTTTTTAAACTCATATTGTTTACTTATATTTTGGCATTTTATAGAGGTTCTATATATTATTATTTTTTGTTATATTATCCGCATACAAAAGTGCTCTGATGCTTCAGAACTAGACCGTAGGTTCAAAGTTCAACGTTAGTGTCTTTAACAAGATATATGTCATATGTTATAGTATAACATAATATCGCAGCAGGACATGTCATATATGTCCATTATGTCAGATATGTCCTGCTAGCTTCATATTCTTCAAAAAAACATAACTAGCAGAGTTTGAAGGCCAAAAATTAAGCTTATTCAAGCGTATTTAGCTTTTATTACTATATTTTGTAATTCCATTCAATTTGTCTTACAGCTAGTTCCAGTAGCTAAATGTAACACCAAAGGCAGAATGCCATGAGTTAACATTGATAGTGTTGATAATGTACAGTACATTGCAAATGTAATTGATATTAATCATTTTAATTTACTACTTTGGGCCAGTGTACTCAAAGCAACTTAACTTGTTTGACAGGGAGTTGTTTGAACACTTCTGTCAAGTATTTGGGCCCCTTACTTTTTGGTATATGTCTATGCTTATATAATAAAAGGATTGGCCAGCACTCTTGTTTAATTGAGCAATATAGACT